CCAGCTCCCGCCGCCGTGACCGCCCGCTCCGGGCCGTGACAGCTGCCAGGCCGAGGGCTGCCCCGGAGGGTAGAGCCGTGCAGGGCTGGAATCCGCTCGCTATTCTGTTTTTCCTGTCTCCGCGCTGTTATCCGTGAGTTTATGGCCTTAATCTTGGCAGTGTGCGTGGGTGTTGCCTCTCGGTACTCTTCAGCGGAGTTATTGAACCACCTCGGGGCAAGGGTGAAGTCTTCAGAAAAACCCTGTGTGCGTCTGGCGCCTACTGCCTCCCACTTAAACGGTGGAGACGGCTTCAAAACGTCAGGGCTTATAGTTCAGGGTATTTCATACAATCCATTTCCTTAAGCATGCCTAGCTGTGCTCTTTATGCTGTTTTTTAAAAACATGTGTTATGTACAATAGTTGCTGTTCTAAAGTACTAACATTCAGCTGTATTGAACCACCAGTAAACTAGCTTCAAACTAGAAAATAAAAGTTATTCGAGACTTGGGTAGTACCTTGTTTGGCATTTACGCAGGTCTTTTTCTGGCTTCCCTGTTTCCAGAGTCATTCACGAGTCTGAATTAGATGAAGGGCCCTTTGCCAGAGCCTCCTGGCAGCAGTGTTATTTTGCCCCAAAGTGATGCAGCGTGACCATGTGTCCAAAGTGTTTCTGTGACAGTGCCAACGAGGGAAGAAGTCTCCATGCGAAGCCAGATGGCATTTTACCGATTGAAAGTAACGCTTTGGGCAAAGGAAGCCAACAGTTAGTTAATGCCTACCACAGGGCATTGGTATTTCAAGTTCAGCTTCCTGACACATTAGCAACAAACTACTCTTGACAATTTTTTTCATTTTTGTGAGGGAGAGTCAAGGTCAGTGACCTTAGCTTACTGTTGTCCTGTATTTTTTTGTGATGTCCAGCTTTTTTGATCAAGTTCTGTAGTTCTTCTGGCATTAAGGTAATACAGATTGAATCACTTCCATCTGTATCCTTATCATACCCTTCTCCTGACAGCAGACTGTTCCAGTGTTGGTCGTGCTGCTTTCAAGGTCGTATTTCTGATTGTGACAGAGCTTGTACAGTAGTGCAAGGAAATGCAGGAGGAGTTGCAGCAGGGTATCAGTAGCAGGAGCTTGTCGCTGAATCTTACTGTTCCTCCAAGTCAAGCAATAGGAAAGTTGGCAGAGACAGGTGGTCATCTAAATTCTTACAAATAGCAAACTGTGATCCTTTGTCACTTGATCGCTCATGCAGCTTCCAGGTATGAATCCCATCTGTCCAATTCATATTTCTATTTGTGGGGGGAGTGTTGATTTTTTTTCCAGAGTAGCCTTCAATGTTGACCTTGTGTACTACTCTGGTACAGACCCCACTGTAGTCATAAGCTCTGTAGTGTAACCTGGACAGCTTATTTGATATGGGGCATCACTTTTACTCTTAGTTGGAATTCAGTATTTTTTCTAGTGTAGGCAAAACTTTTTGGTGGCAAAGCTATGTATGACTCTTATTAAGGGCTGCTTCTTAGGGGGAAAAAAAAAAAAAAGGAAAAAAAAATATTACAATTGTCTGGCTTTTTTTCAACCTCATCTTGTCTTTTTCCAGATAAAATAAGGTGTAAAACATACTGAAGGATCGGGTCTTTCTAGATGTTTGCTGGTATCATTTGTTTGTTTTATTTTGCTACGTACGAGCGGTAGCAGTAACATGAAACGTAGCAGCATACCATTTTGCAATGTCTGGCTTGTGAAAACTTGAGCAGTATATTGCCTACCGGAAAATGCAATGCTGAACTATTAATAAACTGACTTAACAGTTCAGTGTTCAGTAATGTCATAGTCTCCCCCCTCTTCTGTGCCTAGGAGTGATCTTTCTGCATTTCTTCACCTTTCAGCTTTATAGACACTTTCAGTATTCTCTGGAAATACTTTTTTCACTGTGTCGATACCTGTTACTGCGAACCTGTGTTCTTCATGCTTCTTGTGGTGTGACTTTGTAACCATGCCTGCGTAGTATTCTTATTTTTAAGAGCACAGTTTTCTACCACAACTTCATTTTGAAACTACTTGTTGCCTCCCCAGCTATGTGACTTTGTGTAATGTCCTTGTCTTCTAGAGCTTCCAGAAAATTTCTGTGGTATTTTTGTGCTATTATTATTTATTATTATTTTTTTTAATGTTATGAAATAAGTGAGTGGTTTGATTACGTTTTTGTTTGTTTGTTTCTACATTTTCACATAAGAAAATCAAGAACAAGCCTTTTCTTAGTGTTTAGGCTAATTCTTTTTCCACACAGCATTCATTCAGTCTTTCTAGAAATTTATCCAATTAAATATTTTTCACTTTTTTTTCAAACAATTCAGAGATTCATAACTATTGAAGGGTGAAAGAGAGTAAATCAACCTTTTAAAACCAAATTCAGATGTGTTTTTGCACAGTATTAAGGGATTAAACAGCGCTAACAATATTTGTGGGCACTAAACTAAAAAAAGCAAAGAAAGCACTTACAATGAAAAAGAATAAATTTGTGATAAGTATTAGTAAGAAAACTAAACTTCAGATAGTCTGCTGAGTTCTATCCTATTTGGAGTATAACAACAGTAATCACTAAGTGTCCGTGGCAGCAGCTTATTGAAAGAAAGCAGACATGAGTCTGGGACAGTATAAAAATATTCTGATAGATATTGGTTAATAGGTACGCTAAATCTGCATGTAGGTAAACATTGTATAGATAGAATATTCACTAGTGGGCAAGAAAATCAGGTTTGGTGAGTGTGTGTAAATGCCTTTGTGAACATACATTTTAATTATGCTTAATTATTTTTAAGTAATCAATTGCACAAAACTTAGAAGTGGCTGCAGCTATTCACTCTTGCTCAGCGCTGTAAAACCTGAGGTTCCTGGTACAGCTGTCTGTTCATGTGGGTGCTGCTCGCCACAGGAACAAAACTTAAGGAAGCCAAGAATTCCTTTATCGCTGTAGTTAGTTGTATTGATGTGCTTGACGTGGTACTGTTTCTAAAGAGGGAGTCTACGTTTCGAGTTGTGCTGCAGTCAGGCTAGTAGCTTTACAAGACTTGGGCTGTAACGATCTTACACCTCGTGTTCTTTTTCTCTTTAGCAAATGCTTCAAACCATCGCGAGGCATGGGTGGAGGTCACTTTCTAGTAAACCTGCTCAAAACTTACATGTAGGCAAACATGGAGCTGGCTTTAGCTTTGGTAAGTATAACAGGTTTTGAAAGAAGTGCAGCAATTAAGGGCAAATTGCAGAGTTAAAAATTACAAATCCTATATTGCGGTTCAAGATGAATTTAAAATTAAGATGTTTATTCTAAATTGATTTCTATTCATTTAAAAAAAAATGTTTGAAAACCAAAATTGCTTTCTTCCTCAGCTCAGGCAAGTTGGGTATGTGTGTAATGTTTATAATATTTTCATCTTTAAGTCATGTATGTCTGAAGCTTTTTTTATTGCCGAAGCGTCTCATTTGCAATGTTGAAGTAACTAAATGTAGTCATAGTTGGACTTGATTATAAAGAAAAGTCATAAATTCATCCTCATCTTGGCATATTATATAAATAGAGCAAATTTAGTGGGTCAGCAGCTGGATGTTTGAAACTGAATAGCCAGGATCTTGGACGACATCTGCCTCCACCTCTTCTGCTAATTAGCACAGCATTCTTCTCGTTTCTTTTGGTAATACATTTTGTGTTACACAGGCCTCTTTACTCCGTTTTCAATATTTTGTGGATGATTTTGTCAAAAGTAAGTGCGTGCATTGTTAGGTGTTGGTGACAGAACGACACAGGTTTTCTCCTAGGAGGAAGAGGAAGCTGAGCCTTTTTGCTTCCTGGAGAGGCCCAGGAAGTGGTGGTTTGGCTCGTCCTGAAAGGACACTCTGCTTTTCTTTTTTTCTCATAGTCTGACAACTGGCAAAATTAAAGATAGTAGAGAATTTGTGACTTTTTTTTTTTTTTTGGTAATAGAACTTACTGATGAACAGAAAGAGTTTCAAGCTACTGCTCGTAAATTTGCCGTGGAGGAAATTATTCCTGTTGCTGCACAATATGACAAAACGGGAGAGGTAAATCTACCATAGTGTTGGGGAAAAATAGATTTTTATCTTAACCTGCATAAAATTTAAAATGTTGATTGTGGTGAATCAGAAGGTGATTTTCCCCTGTCTATTTCAGTATCCTTTTCCACTTATAAAACGGGCTTGGGAACTTGGTCTTATGAATTCACACATACCAGAAAGCTGTGGTAAGTAATCATTCTTTTTGATCTATAAAAGGAAACAAAGAAAAGGCATTAGATGAGATTTTATATTTGTGGATTCTGTATAAAATAAACAGTTGCTTGCTTGAATAATTGAATTTAATCAGTAGGCAGGTTGGCACACACAAGTGTTACTAGGTGTGGATGTAATCAGGAGACAAATTAGATTATGATTTAGTAATTTATGACCAGATTTTCCTGCTGTGATTACAACTACCTAATGTTCCCCTGGTGCACTGTGTCAGCTGATTAGGCAGAAAGATTAGAAGGTCATATTTTGTTCTAGTCTCTGACACAGGCTGGAGCAATTGAAGAGTTTATTCCAGAAGGACATTTTTTCAGTTCAGATTAGGTGCAGTACAGCAGTGCTTTGGCAATGTTTGGGTATATGAGTAACCATGGAAAAAATGTTAAATTACTTTCTTTTTTGCATTTATATTACCTGAAAAAGAAGTCAGGGAAGTGTCAGTACCAGATTTTTTTTTTTTTTTTTTTTTTCCAGAAGGCTAATCAGATGGTGTATCTTGTATCAAAAATTTAATAAACGAGGTTAAGGAACAAAGAGACAAAAGGAGAAATTGTGAGGACTAGGTTTGTTCAGCCACAAATTCTAGAGAAACCAAAGGCTAAAATAGCTGGACTACTGGCAGCGTACAACCACTTGGTTATTAAATGAAAAATTACAAGTGGCAAATTGGACACCATTGCTTTAAAAGGTCTCCAAGGGAGATCTGGGGGAATGCATACTAGTAAGCCTGATACACCATGTAAATCAGGAGCAAGTAAGATGAAGTACAGAAATAGTGGACACAGATAAACATGATATGCTAGGGAAGGGGTTTTGTGAAAGGAGGTCTGTCCTCATAGAGTCGTTGGAGTATTCTGAAGTAGCTAAGGAGTGTGTGAACAAGGGGTGCCTACCTGATACAGAATGCTTGAACTTCCAAAACTAGTTTTAAATATCATCAGGTGTCATAGTGGAAAAACTAGCAGCACAGCCTTGCTGGGTCTTGGAATAGCTATAAATAAGCTGGAAAAGAGGGTCAATACTGCGATGAGAGAGTTTACTGATGATAATAAGTTATTCAATATAGAAAAGGTGAGGCTGGTGCAAAGAGCTGCAGGAGAAGGTCATGAAAACTGAGTGACTGTTAAAAGGGCAAATGCAATTAAAAGAAAAAGTGATGGATGTGTGAAGGGAAAGAAGCAATCCGAACTTCAAAGAGAAATGGTATCTTCTGAACTAGTTACTGCCTCTCCAAAAAGAGATTTTTGTGTTTATAATATATAGTTCTGTGAGTGTCAGCATAATTCTTAGAAGTGGTCAAAAACATAAAATTTAAGGTCAGAAGGGACCTTTAAGGGCATGAAGAAAAATACAAAAGGCATAATTATGCCACTCCCTGAATCCAAATTGCACTTACCTCTTTTAATTCATTATGTAGTCAGATGCTTCTGTCTCAGAAGAGTATTGTGGAAATGGAAGAGGGTCCTAAAAGGATGACAAAGGTTATAAAAGATATATCTTCTGTGTGAGAAGTAGCTTCTGTATGAGAAATTACTAAAATGTCAGTGTCATGGAGAGTGTGAAAAGGGATTGATAGGTCACTGACCCTTTCAATATAACTAGAAGCCATCAAATTAAGTCAGCAGATGGCAGGTTCAAAATAAATGAAAGGAGATGTTTCTATGCGCAGTGTGTAGTTGATTTGTGAAGCTGATGGCCCCTGGGTGATATTGATGGTAAAATTTTACATGGATTCAAAGAGAGACCGGGCAAATTCATGTCAGAAATACCTGTCAAGAGTTAGCATCACAAAGATACCAAAGAGAGGTCTCTTTTTGGCTGAGGAAGTAACTGAAGGCTTGGGAAAATATTTTTGAGGAAGTGTAGTGGTATTGTTATTGTATTTGTAGGTACTTCCCAAAGTGTTTGCTTCTGTCAGAAACAGATTACTGAGTTGGTTTTCTGACTAATATGGATGCTTTATTTTTTTTTCCCCCCTAAGTGCTGTGATAGCTCAGGAGCCCTTTCTCTGCTTTCTAAGAACTCTTAATTTTCAAATGTAAAGTAGTCAAAAAATTCGAGTGGTACATTCTTGCCACTTTGTGCAACTTGTCCTACAGTAATCACACAATAACCCTGGAACTGTGATATGTAATTTTCAAATCACCTGTTACTGTTCTGACAAAACTTTAAATAAAAGGCTTGCATGAGAACATCTGATCAAACATGGTATGTTTTTGTTAATTAATTTGTGTCAATTGCTAATATGTTACAATTTAAACCCATTTTAGTAAAAGAAATATTTGAACTGTAGGTGGTCTGGGCCTTGGCTCTTTTGAAGCATGCCTTATTACGGAAGAGTTAGCTTATGGATGTACAGGGGTTCAGACTGCCATTGAAGCAAATTCCCTAGGGGTAAGTTCTGTCTTTTCTTACATCCCTTAAACTAGAATCTCTGCACTTTAAAAAGATGAATTAATGGTCTAAATATTTTCTTTCAGCAAATGCCAGTAATCATTGCAGGAAATGAGCATCAGCAGAAAAAATACTTAGGAAGAATGACAGAGGAACCATTGATGTGTGTAAGTATAACTGCTACACTGTAGAATGTTCCTAAACCATATTAATAGTATTACTCCCTTCTTCTTTCCTTTTTTTCTCTGGTTTTTTTTTTTTTTTTCCTTTTTTTAGGAAGGAGAAACTTCAAGGACTCACGAAAACACTGACATGTACTCACAACTCAGCCCATTTGGTTTGTAAAGAAACAGTGGCATTTAGTGAAAGTCAGGAATAGCTAATGAGATACATTCAATAAGCAAGTACAAGATATTACTTGGAAAAATGTCTACATTCTAAGTCAGTTACCAAAAATGAATAGCTTTTATTTCCCTTTCAAGAGGGGGTGTAGGCGTTTAAGAAAAATATGAGGTTTGTATAAGGAGGAACTCAAACCCTATTTGTGATCTTAAATATTACATAAGCAGTACTTGTTACATAGAAAGCAATAAAGATTCATGTGCAATGCATTAAAATCTAAACAACTAAGCCTCATAAAATGCAGGACGCAGTAAACACAAAATGTTACTCTGTGCTCTTATTTTCGGATTTTAGAGATCCTCACCTTTCACATCACAGTTTGTGAAGCCTGAGGCAGTAGTGACTTAAGGGTTACAGAACGGTTCTGTTTGATTAAAAGACCATTTTATGTATTGTTATGGATTTATAAAGAAAATGAACCCATATATGTTTAGATTCTTGCTCAGACAGCTGTTGTGGGGTTTTTTGGGTTGAGTTGTTTTGGAATTATTTTTTTTTTGTTTAATGTTTTGGGGTTTACCGTGCAGGTCACTTAAACCTTTTACAGATCAGTTTCATGCACATAGTCTGCATAATTTGTGGTTGCCTAAAAATAGAACTTTTATTCCTCAAGATTTTTAATTTTATTTTATTTTAGGCTTACTGTGTAACAGAGCCTGGCGCAGGCTCTGATGTGGCTGGTATAAAAACAAAGGCTGAGAAGAAAGGAGATGAATATGTTGTCAATGGTCAGAAGATGTGGATCACAAACGGTGGGAAAGCAAACTGGTGTGTTAACTGTTAACTCGTGTTATATTTTCTGCTGTTATGCTATATAGTGGCTTCCCTGCTATGTTTAAAGATCTGTTATAAATCTGAATGTTCACTGTGTTTCAACACACTACACTTTAATCTCTGACCAGTTTATCAGGATAGGATATAAGAATGCAGTCTCAGTGCTGTGCAAAGTCTAAAAAGGAAAATGAGTGATGACATGACAACTCCTCACTCAAGAAGGGCTCTCGAATGTTGCTGCTATCAAACAAAATTAATTCTGCTTTTTCTTCAGGGCACGACAGCAACGGTGTGATTTAACTACAAAGTACTCAAGAGGCTCATATTACTAGCTACCTTGCTTTGTCGTGGTGGTGATTGAGATTGGTTGCTTCTGCTTCTACTAGAAACACCTCTCACTTCTAGTGAACCTAGAAACACTATTGGATTATGGTGTCACATTTTATTGTCTGAAGGGGTGACATTTTCCAGCTGTCAAAGATTCTAGATATTGCTGTGGTGTCTATGAAGCGTGCTTTACTATATAAACCTCTTTAATTGTGTTTCACATAATGCTAATTCACAACACACAAATTCTTCTTAATTCAAGTGGAAAAACTTTATACATTTATCCAAAAGTTGAATTTGGTATTTCCTTGTTCAAGGCAGATCCATCAAAAGAAAATCTGCCAGATATCTTTTGACATACTGACAGCCATAAATGTGATTTACAACTGTTTAATTTCTACAAGAAATATTTATTTGCAACTTAGACTTAGAAGAATAAAATCAAGATCTTTGAAATTAGGTGGTAACATAATTTTTTACATGCAAGAATATATTTCCTAAGCATTACTTTTTATGTACATGCCATGAATAGGGTTTTTTTTACTATTTGTAAAGCTGACAATATCATAAACACAACACGTGGAAAAGATGGAGAATCTTTGCATGTTAATCTGAAGTAATTTTATTAAATGTTATGAAATCTTGAATCTTTGAAACTTCCTCTCTCTCACTCCTCAGTTTATTTTTGGGAGGGGCAGGAAAAAAGTGTTGTTAACTTACAGACAGAATTTATTATATGGTAGAAATGCACATAAAACCATACAAAATATTAGCTAAAAAAGTATATGGTTGTTAATTGTGAGGATAAACTGCATCCCTCTTCTTTGTTTTATGCTAGGTACTTTTTGCTAGCTCGTACCGATCCAGATCCAAAAGTTCCTGCAAGCAAAGCCTTTACTGGATTCATTGTGGAAGCAGATAGCCCTGGAATTCAAATTGGAAGAAAGGTGAAGACTGTATCTCTTCTTTGACAAGCCAGGAATTATTATTTAATTCTAAACCAATAATGTAACAAATTATCATTAAAGAAAAGAGATTGTTATGCAACCGAACACTTTTCATATGCTCATGTACAATGATCTTTTCATTTTCACAACGTACAGAAACTATCTGTAAGACATACTTAATTATAATGTTATTAATTCAGATAAGGAATTAATCAGAGTGGTCTAAAGTAAGATGCCTTTGAACAGCTGCAAAAGAATCTTTGAGAACTATTTTATTGACAAGTGCCAATAAATGAGAAGTAGCATGCATTGAAAGGTTAAGAAGCAAGTTGGACAATTTTGACCATAAATACGTATACAGTGAGCTCTAATTTTAGCTACTGCTGGTTGAAGAAGAGGTGTTGGAGACACTGGTGCTAGTTCTTTTTTTTTTTTTTAAAAAAAAAAAAGTACTGTTTTCAGTAGTAGGCGAAACTGGATGTTGAGCATTATGAAACGAGTCTGAAAACTTGAAAAGCTCATTTATTTATTTACTTGTAGTACACTTGTACTGCCTGCATATTAGATTCTTTACTTTTCCCCCTCCCATCTCAAAGGATATCGTTGAACTAGAGAAAGACGACAAGACTGATTACAGCTACAGAACTGATTTCATATAAGGAGAAAGTAAATTGCCCAGCTTAGACAAATTAAGGGCGTGCTGGTCTGCAAGTGCAAAACCAGTATTTGTTGTGTGTATGGTAATTTTTAGATGAAGTGTTTTGGGGAAAACAGCATACTTTATGCTTTGAGTAAACTAAACAATGAAAATGTATTGTACCTTTGAATAATCCAGTTTAGTTGCACCTCTGTAAATTTTCTGTTTCAGGAAATGAATATGGGTCAGCGCTGCTCAGATACAAGAGGTATTGTCTTTGAAGATGTGAGAGTCCCAAAAGAAAATGTATTAACAGCTGAGGGAGCTGGCTTTAAAATTGCAATGGGAGCTTTCGATAAGACCAGACCACCCGTAAGTATCAGAAATTCTTCAGTGCTAATAAACAGGGAATTTCTGATTTTTTTTATTCTGTGCTGTATTCAATTCAGGTAGCAGCTGGTGCTGTTGGATTAGCAAAAAGAGCACTTGATGAAGCTACTAGATATGCTTTGGAGAGAAAAACCTTTGGGAAAGCAATTGTTGAAGTAAGTGGGGGTGGTGGGGGGGGAGAGGGAGAGAGAGGGTATAAATAAAAGCTGTTTTCACACCAGAGGTACTACTACTGATTTTTCAAGGTTATTCCTTGATTCTTTTAGTTTCTTAATTTTTATATTCTATCTCTGCCAGTTTTGGGTTTCCAAGAATATGGGTCAGCACCATTTAAGTAAACTTAGCTATGTGGTAACTTCAGGAATTTTTCTGTAATTTGTCAATGATGATAGTAAAAGCAGAAAGAAAACTTTGCCCCAAAACCTGAAACTCAGGTACTATCAGAACATACTTAAGTTCTTCAGTGCTAATAAACAGGGATTTTCAGGAAAGGAAAAATCCTCTGAGGTATGTGAAATGACGCACAGTATTAATGCTAATAGAATACATTGCCAATCACACTGCTTACCAGTTTTAAAGAAATATGAATAAACAGCAAGGTAAATACCAATCTCATAAATAGTAAAGAACTACTTCATAATTTACTATTTAATCCCTATGACTAAATGGATTTGAGAATTAAAAACTTAGACGTCAAATTCAACATACAATTATGACAGCCTGATCCATATTCTGTACAACTCCTCTAGTACGGGTTACTGAGTTTGTTGAAGAGATCACTGTATTAAGATTACATTTTTCTTGGTTGTCATAGAATTTTAAGCAGTGATGTCAACCTCGTTTATTTCATCATTCATAGCACCAAGCAGTGTCTTTCATGCTTGCTGAAATGGCAATGAAAGTGGAACTGGCCAGGATGGCTTACCAGAGAGCTGCGTGGGAAGTTGATGCTGGCCACAGGAATACCTACTATGCTTCCATTGCAAAGGCATTTGCTGGTGACATTGCAAACCAAGTAGCTACAGATGCAGTGCAGATTTTTGGAGGAAATGGATTTAATACTGAATATCCTGTAGAAAAATTGATGAGAGATGCTAAAATCTACCAGGTAAGTAAAAGAGAGAATGTGATCTTTATAGCAATGGATAAATTTTGTATAAAATAAACTAATGGCTACTTATTTCAAATCATGATGTACACATATAAAAAAGATTTTAGAATGAAAGCAATAATCGTGCAATTTAAAGAGTCATTCAGATCAGGCAAATGCTTGAATACAAAAGTTATTGCACTGAACCAACAACTCAACACACTTAAGAGAAATAAATTATGTTTTTTCTTTTTTTTTCCAAATGTGGTAACTCTTCAAAATTCTTGGACTCTTGATTTTGAAGCTTTTGAACTTTTAGCAAAAAACACTGTAGAAAAAACTGATCAACATACTTATGCTTGCTTTGGGATTTTGTTGGGAGAGGTGGTTTATGAATAATGCTGTTGTTGAAAATCTTCAGTGATGGAAATCCTCTGACCTTCTATATGTATCCTGGACTGGTGCCTGCCTATAGTTTAGCTTTCCTCTCAGCCTGAACACTAAAGCAGTTTCTTCACCTTTTTCCTCATAAGTTGTGGGGTTGTTTGTTTGTTTGTTTTTTCCCTTCCTGTTTCCAGCCTCTTCATCATTTGTTGCTGTGCTCTAAACCTTCTGTTTGAAACTTTGGTATCATAAGCTGTGTAGAATACTTTGGTTGAGATATCAGCGGTATTGAGTATCATGGAATGATCATCTTGCATGCGTTCTATTGCTGCCCAGTTCCAGATGGTATATGCTTTTGACCATATGTTTCATGTACAAAAATTTGGTTTTACAACTTTTCCTCCATATATTTGATCTTTTTTCAGTATTACACAATTCTAATACTGTATTTACCAGTAACATTTTTACATGTTCTTACTCTGCTCTAGGTTTGTCTGGCTACAAATCTAGGCTACTCTGGTAGAAACTCTTAACTTGGTTCCCTTTGTCAAATTTGGAAAACTTCCCTTCTTTAATTGTCAATGATTCTTGAAACTGTTTCCATTGGCTTAGAAACCAAAATCTTTCTTGAAATTACTTAAGAAGATAGTGAGTTTTCTTGTCTTTACACTTGGGTTCCATGGCTGTCTTCATTGGCAAGTAATTTAGTGCAATAGGAGCAGATGAGTAGATTGCAGGAACAGCTGCTGAGGCCCTGACAACTACACTATAAGCAACTTGGGCAGGCTGAGTTGGTAGCAAGCCTGTTTGGTCCCTTGGACTATGTGTCCCTGATATGCAGGTAATCGTTAAGGGTCCAGTTGTAGGCATGGACCATTATGTCTTCGTTAGGGATTGGTGGGTATTTGGTATATAAGCAGAACTTCCATTTCAGTCTGCTCCAAAAGGCACCTAGTATTCACAGAACACAATCTGCTCTATGAACTGGATCAACATGGGGTAAGCAGCAGCAGTGAGAGAATTCACTTTGGGAATGAACAATTCCTTCTGAACCAAAAGACTAATGAGAATACAGGTTATAGCATCTTTATTTTCAAAAGGCTTTGTAAGCTTCTTTGGAAAATTATTCCTGTAAGTGAATGAGAAAGTAAATTTGAGCGATTTGCCAACCCAGTTCTGGCAGAACTGGCAGCTGAAACACTTAAGCCCCTAAACTGTGTTGCCTCAGCCCTCGCATTACATTGCAGTATGCCTGTGGAGTATGTGGCCTCCGTCAGCATTAGAGCTTCATACATGCTTTGTTGTCTGGCTTTGGCTTTGCTGCCAGCAAACAAATAGAACAGAGGGATGATGCAGACTGTTTCTAGGAGAAAATGCAAGAATACATGATTAGAAAAAAAAAAAACAAACCAAACCACCAAACAAAACTGTATGGGAGAGAGTACTAGTTAACAAGAAGCAATGGAAATAAATGGATCGAGGACAACATTTGGTGTGACCTTGAAAGGCTAGTCAAATAAAATACAACACTTTGAGAACATCACCTCCTCTGCTCCACCTATTTGTTTAAATCCTACTTTGTAAAACCTAAGTTGCTTATTTTCTTCCTCAGATGAGAAATTTTCCCCATGTCTGTTTATTTTAGTGAGAACCTTAGTGAGTTTAGATAAGAGCACCTAAGAGAACAAGACTGTCTCTCAATTATCTTACATGTGATTTATTCCATTTAGCCCACTGTAGTTACTCTGTCACACTGGAATTTTCTGGTTTCTCTGTCTTTCTGCACATTCTAATCCACACTGGGTTAGTGCTGTGAAGGTTTAAGTGTAGATCTGTTAAAACCTTTTAAAAAAAATCATCAGCTAACGTTATTGCAATTCTTCTTTTCAGATTTATGAGGGAACTGCTCAGATTCAAAGGCTGATCATAGCTCGTGAACATGTTGGCAAATTTAAGGCTTAAAGAAATGCATAAAGTGTGTCTGGCACTGCTGTCGTGTTCTGATGGAAGAGGATTTTAGTGCACTTCTCAATAGAATTAAAAAGGCATGGAGGAAAAAACCCAAAACTTTTCCTTCAAAATCTTTTTATTCTGTACACTATTAAGGACTGCTGCTGTTCTCCCCGTCCACTCCCTCACTTCATTCCTGACTAACAAAGCTGGTATTTTCTAAATATTCTGGATTCCAGAATGAAATACAAAATGGGCAAGAAATGAGAACCTCACAATGCAATTTTCTCACTATCAAATTTGATGATCAGAAGGTTATTTCTGACAGTCATTGATGCATTCTAATAAAATTTGTTTTAAAAGAAGTGAGGTTGGTTTTTATTCATTTTGCTTGTCACATCACTTAAAACGTATTTTGGGTAAGTTGTCCAGTATCTGAAATACGTTAATGCCTGTACTTCAGTTCCTACTGTGCTACTGTCCCCAGCGGCTGAATAGCCTTTCCCGTTCAGCAGTGTACGGCCTGCATTGCTATTGTCTGCATGTTTGTCTATTCTGAGGATTTAGGTACTATCCAATAGTAACAGTATTGGTTTGAGAGAACACGGCCTTTTGCACTGCTACACTTACTTAAGCAAGTAAATGTTCAGTTAGGATGATTCACTTCAAGTGAAAGTGGGTAGCTTTTATTTAAGTATTACTTACAAGATTGTGTTTATTTCAAATCCAGTACATTTAAGCCTATTATTCCTTTCCACAAGTACATATACTAAACTATGTTTGCAGCAAGAACAGCTGAGATGAAGAAATTGTGGTGAGGTTTTGGGGTTTTTTTAACCTTCTTGTCAGTGCTGGCAGAATGGACATTCCCAGGCCTTCTTCAACAAGTTACTCTGCATTGATGAGGCTGGACCTGCAATACTGCATCCAGTTCTAGGCTCCCCAGTACAAGAAAGATAGAGGCTTAGCTGGAGGGAGTCCAGCACAGGGCCACAAAGATGAATAAGGAACTGGAGGATCTGGCATGTGAGGAGAGGCTGAGACTCTGTACCCTGGACAAAACACAGCTTAGGGGTGGTCTGTTGTATCTGCATAAATACCTGATGGGATGCAATGAAGAGGAGGGAGCCAGCCTTTCCTTGGTAGTGTCTGCTGACAGGACTAGACAATGGACATAAATGAAAACACGTGAGATTCCACTGAAACACAAGAAAACATTTGTTTTGTTTTTAATTATGAGGGAAATCATACACTGGCAGAGGTTGTGGAGTCTCCATCTATGGAGATACTTAGCACTCAACATGACATGATCCTGGACAACCTGCTCTAGCTGACCCTGCTTGGGCAAGTGAGTTGTACTCTATGATCTTGAGGGCCCTTCAAACCTCAACAATTCTGTGAATTCATTTGAAATTTCTCACCCAAATGTCTTTGCCTTGCTGTGATCTCTTGCATCCATCATCTCAATTTAGTGCTGGATGGTACAATTACTGTCATATGGTATCAGTTTTGCCATGCTTATTTCTCAGGGAGGCCACCTGGGAAATGAGTTCTTTAAATAAAGTGTTTGATCACTCTTATTTACCTGCAGGAAGACCAATAATACGATATCCTTGGTAGGTATTTGACATATGTAAAAGTAGACCTTATTTTTGACTGTTCTGTGCAAGCCAGCATTATACATATTTCTTATATAGAATCAAAATGGTATTCCTGCCTGGGATGGTTCTGTCGGGGATGTGTGCCATCAAGTGTTATCAATAGCACAATCATCCTAAACAATCTAAATTAGGAAGCAAGGGGGCTTTTTTGAATAAAAGGACAGTTATCCTTAACTGTCCTGTGACTAAATTGGATTTGCTTTTCCATAAAAGTGAGGTAACAGAAGGAAACTGAAGCTATTTGTAAATGTTGTCCTGTTTGCTGTGATGCAAGAAAGTGCACAGCTGCACTTAGTACACTTTGAATTTACTCCCTCACCTGTTCCAAGATAACCTCCAATTGTGGCAAGCCTGA